TTCCCGTCTCAGGCCACGTTCTCCCATCCAGTGATGCACCGTGGTCCCATCACGGTGGGCAGATGACGGGCGGGCCGTCACGGGTCCAGACTCTGCGAGCACCAGATGCAAGGGCACGAGGCAGCGGCGGCGGCAGGTTGTCACAAGCACTGTCGGCCATGCTGTGGTAAAAATCGCCGTGGGGGAAGGATGCTTGGCCACGGAGTTCATCGCCAGCATGTCCGAGATCCGTTTTTGTTGCGGAGATCAAGGCAGATCGGGAATCTGGCAGCTGTGGCAGGCCCTGGTCACCATCTCTCACGAAGCGGAATGCCTGATCGAGTTGGACGGGTGATGACTCAACACCCGTCGCGGTGTCGGGCTCTGGCAGGATGCCGACCACCGATCATTCTGCGGCAGGGGCTTGTCAGCGAAGCACCAGGAGCCAGCCAGTCGCTTGGTCAGACAGGCAGTGAGTGAGTGGGTGGCAGTTGCGATGGACCCTGAATAAGGTACAGCACGTCGAACATGCCACGCACAGACCAGGCCATCCGAGAGTTCCTTCCGTCAGACTCAAAGCTCCAGTCGCTAGTGCAGCTGCCAATCACCGGCCGAACCTTCCGCAGAGCTTGAAGGGTGGGACAAAGGGAAGCTTCATGCCTCACGTCATTGCCTCGTCGCTGCCATTTGGACTCTGCCTCTCTACAGTCACGCCTCCCGACGCTTGCAACATCCCACACCCGGACAACTGCCGGACACCGAGCAACGAACGTTTCGACCCTCACATCGGGTCCTTCGTCGTTCGTATCACATGCTGCTGATGCATCATCATCATCAGTAAACATCCCCGAACCACGTAGCACCATCACAATGCGACCCCTCCTCCGCTCAGCTGCCCCGGCACCCTCCGCCAGCCGCCTGCTCCCCCGCCGTCCATTCTCCTCTTCGGCTTGCAGATCTGCTCTTCCCCCTCCCCCGCCTCCGGCCGCATACGCCCCCCTCCCTTCCCGACGCCTCATCTCCGTCTCGGGCCCCGACACGGCCAAGTTCCTACAAGGCGTCATCACCGCCAACATCAACGCACCGGGGCCCCTCTATGCTGCCTTTCTCACCGCCACCGGCCGCATCCTCAACGACGTCTTCATCTACCCCGACACCCTTGCCATTGGCGCCGGCGCCCCCGAAACGAGCTTCCTCATCGAGGCTGACGCCGACCAGGCCCCCGTCCTCGCAAAGCACATTCGCCGCTACAAGCTGCGTGCCAAGTTCGATGTGCGCCTCCTCGACGACTCGGACGCCCGCGTGTGGCACCTCTGGAACGACGCGGCGCCTGACCCGCCAGCGCAGTCCACCGCCGCGGGGGACCTGATGCCCGACCGCCGCGCCCCGGGCATGGGCTACCGCCTCGTGCGCAAGGGGGACGCCGCGCCGGCACTGGATCTCGAGCAGGTCGACGAGCAGGCGTATACGCTGCGGCGGTACCTGCGCGGCGTAGCCGAGGGCCAGGGCGAGATGCTGCGGGAGCATGCGCTGCCGCAGGAGAGCAACCTCGACTACATGGGCGGCATCGAATACCACAAGGGCTGCTATGTCGGCCAAGAGCTGACCATCCGGACGAAGCACCGGGGTGTCGTGCGCAAGAGGATTCTGCCGTGCGTCTTGTACAACGAGGGGGATGCCATGCCAACCGAGCTTGCATACCGGGACGAGGGCGTGGACGCTGGTGTCATACCGTGTGAGGCCAAGATTGAGTCTTGCAGCAAGAGGGCCAGGAATCCGGGCAAGTGGCTCAGCGGCATCGGCAATCTTGGCCTGGCGCTGTGTCGACTCGAGACGCTGACGGATCTAGCGGGGCCGTTGCCGACTTCTTCCTATCAGCCGACGGACGAGTTCAAGGTCGAGTGGACGGCAGGCGATGCGACAAACAGCCTCAAGGTTAAGGCCTTTGTGCCAGACTGGCTGAGGCAATCTCTTGAAGCAGTGCCGCCACGAAACGCGACCTAACATGTGGGTCGCAAGCCAATGTACATCACCATATATAGTGTAAAAGTAGAGAAAATGGTGGGGGTATCAAATTCCTTTTCAAGTCTCGTCCCGAGACTCTCAGTTCTGGCAGCTTTCTGGGTATCATGTCTATGTCGTTGTGCCGTCCTCCTCCGCAGTGCCTGCCGCCGCCTCTTGCGCCGCCGCCAGCTTGGCAGCATCCCGCTTCTTCTGCACCGCGATCATCCTTGCCTTGAGATCCTCCCACTTCGGCGCCTTGCCCTCGCCGCCGTTCGTCTTCGGAGCGTCTTTGGACTCCGTCTCGGGCGGCAGCTCGCCCCTCTTCCGCGCCTTCTTCTCGGCCTTGCGTGTCCTCGTCTCCTCGAGCCTCCGCTGCAGCTCCTGTATCCTCTCATCGCCCTCGTCCTCCTCGCGGTTCCTCTTCTCCTCGGCCTAAAAGCCGGAACCGCTCGTCCTCCGAAGCCCGCCGCCTCCGAAGCTCCTCCCCCATGCGTGCCTTCTCCCGCTCGAGCTCCCTCCTCTTCTCCTCCTGCTCGTCCCTGCGCCTCTTGGCCTCGCCCTCGGCCGCCTCGAGCTCGTCGATCATGCGCTTGCGCGCGCCCTGCACCTGCGCCCTCTCGGCGGCCCGCAGCGCCTGCGCCTCGCGCCCGCGGTCGTAGGCGCCGCG